AAAATTTGTTTAAAGTTTGTTTAAAGTTTAAGATAAATAAACAAACAAAACGGCGAAAGAAGAGTCATTAGATTATAAAACATTTAATTAATTAAAAATATTAGGCGAAGATACATGAACCGATACGGAGCGGCGCATATAAATGTATAAATGTATAAAAAAACATAACAAGTTTCGGCTACAGGATTGAGCTCTCTTCAGATGTAAAGTGTGATAAAATAAAACAATAAATAAAAAAAATAATTCATGTCGCAATCAACATAAAACGTAAAAAAGTAAAATTCGGATGGATCTCGAAAATACGTGCGATTGAGCAGTCAAGATGTCCAGTATCAAAGCCAGATCGCTAGACAAGACCGAAAAAGAACTTGTAAGAAAAAACAGACTTTAATAATTAGAACCGCCGCAATCATGATAAAATCGCACACTCATCAGCAAACTTGAATAAATCAATATGATCCGCCGCACATGCAAAAGTGAAACAGGTGTAAACCGTAACACGCCGGCAAGACTGCACACACCGGAGCCGGACATGTCGGCGTCGCTCACGATGTGACCGCTCGCTTAAACGAAACGCAACGCACTGAGAGAGGAGAGGAGACGGGCCGACAGAATCGAGAGTCATACTTTGTTTATAATCGGTAGATACGCTTTGTGAAGACCTTCGGTGTCAGTTTGTAGATTCAGACTATTTTTTTGCTTTTTAATATGCAACATTTCCGATATCAACCGCTTTCTGTAAGAAGGTTCTTCATCCAGAATTTGAACACCGTCCCATTGAAAATCATGATCATGAAGAAGCCTATGCTCGGTAATGACAGAGCGAGCAGAAGTTTTGTATCTAATATGGTTACGGTGTTCCGCAATTCTAGTTTTTAATTGTCTGCCCGTCTGCCCGACGTAAGACGCGTCGCAATCATTACATAAAATTTTATAGACGACATTATTTTTCGATGTACGAGGACAAGTGTCCTTTTGGACTCTAATGTACTTGCTCATTTTGTTGGGGCTGTGGAAGGCTACCCTGATATCGTCTTTATTTTTGCGCAATGTTCTGAATTTCTCTGTGTGAGGCGGAATGAAGGGAACCGTAAGCCAAGAGATAGACTCCTTAGTAACGTCACTATCGGTTACAACGTTATGTACATTGTGTTTCTTTTTAATCAAATTTTTTATTCTTTGGTTGATAGAGTCAAAAATAAAATCAAGTGGATAGTCATTTAGGAGTAAGATATTAATGATGAAAGTCAAATTTTTGGTGTGAAATATATTGTCAGATAATAAAAAGGCTCTGTCGACTAACGAAAAGATGGTGCCTTTTTTCTGCGTCAAAGGATGATTAGAATGAAAGTTCAGGAATCTACCTGAAAACGTTGGCTTACGGTACCAGTCTAAATTACACCGATTTTCATTGATAGACACGGTAATGTCCAGGAAATTTATCGTATTTCCGCCTCTTTCTACGGTGAACTGCAAGCGTGGATGGAATAAATTGAATTGTTTTAGTAGCCCGTCGATTTGCGAGGGATGTACCGCAGTGCATATGTCGTCAACGTATCTATAATAAAATAAGGTGTCAAAATTCGACGACATCAAGGACACTGTCTCCAATCTCCTCATCACTAAGTCCGCTATTATCGGTGATATTGGAGAACCCATGGGAGTGCCAAAGCATTGCTTGTAAATCACATTGTCGAAGGAAAAGAACGTCGAAGGAAAAGAGTCTAAGACAAACTGTATTGCTCCCAAGAACTCTTTCTTGGGTAGGGAGCAATCGCTGGCAATAACATACCAATGTTCGTTCACACAGTCAATCGCTACATCCGTTGGCACGTTCGTGAACAAAGAGGTGACATCCAAAGATATTAGTTCGTGTGCCTCTGTGAAATGCACACTCTTTAATTTCTCGACTAATTCGAAACTATTTCTAACGTTACTGTCGGCCTTCGGAATGGTCTTGAATAATTTATTATGTAAGAACGTAACCAAAGAATACAGCGGACTGCGCACCGATGACACGATAATTCTAAAAGAGCAACCAAGCTTGTGTATCTTTGGCAGTCCATAGGCCCTCGGAAGAGACCCGTCACTACAGTACAACGCTCTGTATTCGGAGTCCTTGATATGACCTCCCGTTTTCCATTTTGTGAGCATAGACCTTAAAGCTGTCGTAAGTTTTTTTATTTATTGTTTTATTTTATCACACTTTACATCTGAAGAGGGCTCAATCCTGTAGCCGAAACTTGTTATGTTTTTTTTATACATTTATACATTTATATGCGCCGCTCCGTATCGATTCATCTTCGCCTAATATTTTAATTAATTAAATGTTTTATAACCTAATGAACTCTTCTTTCGCCGTTTATTTTGTTTGTTTATTTATGTTATATTCAGGAGTCTTTACATCGTTGTTATTTAAAGTTTAAGGTTTCAGCTAGATTTGCGCGCTCGACACAGCGACGATAGTCGATTCCGTGAAGGTCCAAGGTGTATCCCCCGTCCTGTCTAGATAATCGAGAAACTCTTCTAAAATTTCAGGGTAATCACGGCAACCCGTGAAATTTCGTACGGTGGCCAGTGACACGGAACATTCGTTACAAATTTCGAATCGTTCGGAAAACCTTAAATGGATGTAATGTCGCAATATCTCAAAATAATTTTTCTTTTCATCGAAGTAAAGAGGTGTAGCACTCTGAACATTTAGTCTCGCCGTTTTCTACTTGACGAAAGAATAATGAAGATACGCAACATGCGCTACGGATCCACGTGATGTAAGGGTTAGTTTCCAACAGATAAGTGCTGATAGGCGGGCGCGAACGCGGGTGTACCGGACATATAGTACGCGCGAACAGGATTCACAGTCCGCGGTGACCGAAATGTGATAAAGTAAAAATATCCTACTTTCACGATGAGGTCTCCGTCAATGGTTGTGGCACGCGGTTGATCGGTGTGCGTGGCTCTCAGACTTCCCATTATCCTGGACTTGGCGTCGAATCCGTCCTCGTCGATTCGTAGCTCTCATGTGCACAATAGTCTAAGTTAGCTAATTTGGTCGTCACTGGTACGAATTAATATGGGAAGATAGTTAAGAAAGGATTTGTTGAGAAAGTTCATTCAGATTTAGCTAAGATGTTTATTAATTTTAATTCACAAAATCAGTTAAATTTAGAATCACTTAAATGTAGAATTACTTAAATTTAGAATTATTTAGATTTAGAATTTGAATTAGGTTTAGAATTATTTAGATTTAGAATTTAAACTAAATTTAGAATTACTTAGATTTAGAATTTGAATTAGATTTAGAATTACTTAAATTTAGAATTTGAATTAAATTTATTTTAAAAGAAATTGAAACGATTACATTCATACGCGGCGCGCAAAACTGAGGCAATGTTTCGCCGATGGAAGAGGACTTAGAAAATTTTTGCCCGAGAGCACTCGACCCAAACGCTAAGACGCTAACTCAGTTACTGTCTATTACTGACTGTTTTCTATTACTCATGCTCCGAGGACATCTTTTTGAGAAGAAAGAGAGAGAGAGAGAGAGAGAGAGAGAGGGATCCACATCCGTCGCTGCCCTGTTAGGGCGCATATGGTGGGGAGGCGTCAGATATGGTCCTAGCGATCTCGTGTACCAATCTATAAGTGATAAAATGTTCATGATTTGTCCAAGAGTGATTTGGACAAGTTTAAAAATATTGCGGACGTGACAGTATTCCACAATACATGATTTCTGATAAGTTGAAATTCTTATTCTCTGTTCCCTATTCTCTATTCCTATCATTATGCCCAGCCCCTTAAGATCGTATCAGACTACCAACTCTGTAGGCCGACCCGACTGCCGATTCTGACTGCTAATCCTCAGCGGACTAACCATATCGAGGCGCTGACTGATTGGATTGGCTAACTTGCGTTTAGATTCGAATCTATTTTTCGAGTTAACGTCGTCAGCGACTCAGAATTATAACTAATAGAAATATAAGATTAATCACGTAATAGTTTGGCGATTGTCTTATGTATAAGAAAAAGTAGTTTGTAAAACAGCTTAGTGCAGAAACAGAAAACAGACCAAAAATCACAATGATATGATACAATTATGTGAATAAATAAATTATTTGTTATATTTACATTCATTACCTAACAACACATTTGCATTGCATGTTAAGAAGTTTTGTGAATCTACCAGCCTTTACCTAAAATTCAGTTATGTCTCGATTTTCAGATATCGTATTATATCCAACACAATTTTGAGATTCTCTCACGTTTTAATAAATTTTACTCTTTTATATATTCCACGTATATGAATCTATAGTCTATACAGACATATATATATATATATGTCTGTATGTATAGACTATATATATATATATATATTGAGTAAATCAGTAGCAATCGTCGGCAAACATCAAGTGTGATCGATCCATAGACTTATAAGGGTGCTGTCCAGTAATGCCCCGCACTCGCGCATGCGCGTAGCTATTAGGTTAAAGTAACGATGTGATGCCGTGTGGACAGCGAAGTCTGGCGAAGTCTGCGCGTCAAACCGGACAACAAGAGGTGCGAGGAATCCTAAGAGGAAAATAGAAATGAGGTAAAGTATTTTAGGTCAGAAAAGAAATCGCAATGGAGTCAGGAAAAAGGCCCAAGAAAAAGTATGTATCCGAAAATTTAGAAGATCTTGGTTAGATAAAAATATCTTTAAAGGTTGGCAGAGGATAATAATAGAGCTTGGTGTAAAATTTGTAATATTTCGCATAAATGTTATCGATATAATTTATCAAGGCATGCCGAATCAGCTTCTCATATAGATAATGTAAATAGTGTTAATGTAGAAATTGATATCTCACAATAAGAGATATGTCTAATATCTATAAATTTATAATTATATTATATTTCTCTTTGGGGCGAATAAGGACGTCAATTTCACGAACAGAATAGATACTCTACTGGCGCTTTAGACTGCGCGCATGCGCGAGGGCATGTCTGGCATCACTGATGCCGTCCAATCCCATAGAGAGGAAATTGGTAATGGAATTCGCAGAATCAACACGACGAATTACAATCATTCCGTTTTCTTTCTTATGGCTCCCGCATACAGAACGCAATGCTTACCACACAGCGAAAGTTGGCACGATAGCCAATCAACGTCTCACTTGCTCGGAAGTAATAGATATATAATTTCCACCGCGCGACAAAAATTGAACTCAATCCAACTTTTGCCACGCGGCAGAAGTAGTATTACATCATTTCTAGAAGTTTTGCAAGATGAGGTCGACTTAAAAACATAGAATTATTGTTTAATGCGACAACTTCCGCCGCGCGGCAAGCATTGCCGCGTTCTGTGTGCAGGAGCCATAACAGTGGTACCAGGTATTTGGAATCCCTGTTCTGGGCGACAGCTGTATTGCCTCCGTATACTCTATGGACGGACAGGGGCCATTAATTAACATGGTTTTTTTCTGCCACATTTGTTCATTTCATGCAAAAACGTGAGTAATTTCATGAAAACCGAAGCTGGTTGTGCTACTGAATGATTACTTATATACATGTAAAAGTTTAAATTTTATCATCAATTACATTACATCAAAATGCCATTAATAATGATAACTGGCATACCATGCAGCGGCAAAACCACGAGGAGCCTCGAGCTCAAGAGTTACTTCGAGGAGAAGTTGAAGAGTAGTGGTCAAAACGTGGAGATAATCAGCGAGAGCAACGCAATAATCCAAACGGGTTACAATAAAAATGTATATTTTGCGGGTAATTTGAAGAGATGAAGGATATTTGCATAGAGATCAATGTTTTCATGTAATTTTGATTATGTTCCAATTTAAACACTGCTAATACCAAGAAACTATTACAAATCTATCTAATATATATAACGCAAACTACAGATTTTCAGTATTAGAAACATGTATGAACTACGAAAAAGAATGTGGATATTACTCTGATATTTGATATTGTTATGAAAAAGGCCGGAATATCCATTTTCCAGTTTTCCTCTGATATTGACCTTTATGTACATGGATATTTTGATAAATATTTAGTATAACACCTCTTTTCCTCCAATTTTCTTTGTAAATTTATGTATTTTTATGGATAAAATATATTTTAATAAGGAAAATCATTGCTCAAATTTCTTATTTAATTTCGAAGTTTTTTGATATTAGTAAATTTAAAAATGATAATTTAATGATAATTTACAACTGCACATGCTCATTAATGTTATTATTTATGAATTAATGTTTAGTTATAAATTAAGTGTAAAATGAGATATTCCAACAACTTAATAATAATAAAAAAATAATTTAATTATATAAGAAAACTCACTTAGATTTAAATCTAAGTTGTAATTTTATTATATAATTATATAATTCTCTGCTATAATTTTATTATATAATTCAAATTGTAGCACAGAATAGTTCGTGATTCAAAATGTATATTTGCATATTCTCTGGTTCTTTAATCAAATACAAATTTTCTTATAAAATAAAGTTGTAATTTTCTCATATAATTAAGCTGTAGTTTTCTTATATAATTAATATGTTATTTTCTTATTATTATTAAATTGTTCAACCATATATTCATAATATATCATTTTATACTTAATATATATTTAATGTATAACTGATATTTTTTAATTCATAGACAATATTAGTAAGCATATGTAATCAAGTTATTATTAAGTTATCATTTTTTCAACTTACTAACATTAAAAAAAAACTTTGAAATCCAATAAGAAAACGAGATTTTTGAGCAACAATTTGCTTTCTTGGAATATACATATTCTGTGCACAATATACAAATTTACAAAATTATAGGAAAATCAAAGGAGAAGGAGGGGCGGGAGGAGTACGCTATACTTAACATTTACCGATATTTTGCAATTTCAATGTGCGACAAATATTCAAATATTACATTGTGTCAATCTGTCTTGCATTCTTTCTGATCTTGCATCTTTTCAGATTCGAAGAAGGAGAAAGCTATTAGGAGTTCAATCAAATCAGATATTCAGCGTAAATTAGATTCAAACGACTTATTGATATTTGATGGCAGCAATTATATCAAGGGTTATCGATATGAAATCTATTGCACGACCAAATTATACAAAACCCCTCAGTGCACGCTGTATTGTAACTTGCCAATTGAACAAGCTTGGCTATGGAACAATAAAAGACTTAATTCAGATCGATACGACAAGGAAATTTTTGATTCACTTGTAACCAGGTGATGGTATAATGATGATGATAATAACAAGAAACTAGTTTAAACTTCTAATATCTAGACATTGAATACAACAGATACGAAATACCAGACACTACAAACCGATGGGATTGTCCACTTTTCACAATCATGCCCGAGGACATTCTAATGTGTGATGAGATTTATTGCTATCTCTACAAAGGGAAATTGCCAAAACCAAATCTGAGTACCCAAATTGTTGGGATCTTTTTCTCATTTTTTTAAATAATATTTCCATACTCACCAATACTCACAGATATTTATTCTTTCAGCCACCATTAGCTCCCACAAATTACTTATACGAATTGGATAACATAACGAAAACTGTGACAAACGTAAGTTTTATGTGTGTGCGTGCGTGTGCATATGTACTCGTATAATTAGGAATGCATCGGATACCGGATATATATCTCTGTCGGATAATGTTGAATAGTCGAATATTGTCTTTTATAACTTTATCCAGACGGATAATAGGATATTATTTTAACATCATTGCTTACGATAAAAACTCCCTTATTGTTGCGCATGGGCGAAAAAAACCATGTTCAGTAGCACTGAACACTAATTACATCCAGAAATACTAATTTTTATAATGAAAAATTTAAATTTAAATATTAAATTTTTATTTTTAATAATTGTTTAACAATAGTTACTAAGAAAGTTGATAAAAATATTGTTTTTCTATCAAAGTAAATAATACTTATAATACAAGATACAGGATGCTTTCCGATATTCACTGCCAGTGCTGAAACTATACAATATATACAATATTATGTTCGCTGTAGATTTTCAGCACTAGCAGTGAATATCGAAATGCACTCACAATTTGATGCCTCATCTATCCAAACACGGGTCCATTCGTTTTTTTCACCTATTTAAAATGGTTCAAAAAATCTCTAGAAATTTACCAACTTTTTACATACTTTCAACTTTCTAAGATATTGAAAACTTCATTTTGGAAAATAATAAAAATATAGTATAATTACCGGAAGACTCAAAGAAACTTGCATGAACAGGAATCACTTGGTCACTATGCCATTAAAAATTTCACAAAATTTAATATACTTTTAAGTTACACAATTTGAATTTAATTTCATACTATACATATAAAAAAATACATTATACTAAATTTAATGTATTTTTCATGAAAATTTATGAAATTTAATTACACATTCCTTATATTTAACTAATTACTATAACTTGATTTTCAGATAAATTATTCATTACTTTTAATTTCGTTCATAACCACATTTACGTGTAAAAGAAGCATCTCTAAGGGTGCTGTCATGACAGTCGGAATTTTGGAAAACAGAATCTCGGAAATGTAATAGAGTGGGGATCAACCAATCAGAATTATTGGGATGCATTGCTCGTCTGCACATATACATTAAATACAAGATTGTGGAAATTGAATTTCTATATGTATAAAAAGAAATTCACATTATTAATAAATAATTGTTCGATATAAATATTCATTAATATATAAGTATTCATTTTTCCATATAAATGTATACCATTTATATCATTGGGGATAAAATTGCGTGTTTGTTCGAAATTTTTGTGGCTGAGTTCCCCATGGACCAATATTTCCAAAATTGTGAAAAATCAAAATTTATTTTAAATATTTTATGAAAAAAGATTATTATACAATATAGTAGAAGAATCCGCAAGAAAATAAAATTTCGATATATTTTTTTATTATAACAGAAGATAGTGAAAGAATCTTATAAATTAAAAAACGGTTTGAAGTTAAAATAACAGTCTATTTTCCGAAAAAGTCGACTCCATGGACGACCCAGCCACAAAAATTTCGGACCAACAAGTACGCAATTTTATTCTCAACGATATATGTGGTTATATTTATATGTTTGAAAAATTAATACTTATCGAACAATTATTTATTAATAATGAATTTCTTTTTATACATATAGAAATTCAATTTTGATAATCTTATATTTAACGTATATGTGCAGACAAACAGTAAGCTCGTAAGATCCTCGTACAGATAACAGCGCTTTGACACAGAGCGCTGATTGATGAAAAGCCGGTTGTGGGGGTAAAATTTACCTCTATCACCCATTTTTCACCAATTAGTGTTCGGTGTCACAGTGTTGTTGCCCGTATGAGGATCTAGGCTAATGCATCTCAATAATTCTGATTAGTTAATCTTTACTCTATTATACGAGGGCAAGTCAATAAGTTCTTACAAAATCTGTTAGAAGGCATTCACAATGCCATGACACATTACTTTTTGACAAGTAGCATTTTTCAGTTGATTACTGTCAAATTTTGAGCAGAATTCATCGCGTGGTTTTATTTCTGTAGATGATTAAAGCGAACAACTTTTGTATTTTTTGCAAAATGGAAAAAAACGAGTTTCGTGCAGTGATCAAACATCTACATATGAAAGATTTAACGCCGAAAGAAATCAAAGCCGAGTTGGATAATGTTCATAGCACATCTGCACCAGCGTTTGCGATTGTGTACAATTGGGTGAATGAATTTAAACGTGGTCCATCCACATGTGATGCACCTTGTTCGGGACGCCCAATTGAGGCTGCTACGCCAGAAATCATCGATAAAGTCCACGATATTGTTTTGACTGATCGACGAGTGAAAGTGCTCAAGCTTGTTGAAGCCACAGGCATATCACATGGCACAGTGATTTCAATTTTGCACGAACAATTGGGTATGAAAAAGCTATCGGCAAGATGGGTGTCACGTTTGCTCACTGTGGACCATAAGCGCAACCGTAATGATTTCAAAACAATGTTTGGAAATGTTTCAATGTAATCCAGATGAATTTCTGCGTCAATTCATTACTGTGGACGAAACATGGATCCATTACTTCACACCCGAGACGAAGGAACAGTCAAAACAATGGACTTCACTGGGTGAACCAGCTCCGAAGAAGACAAAGACCATGAAGTCGGCCGGAAAGATGATGGCCACAGTTTTTTGGGATGCACGCGATATAATTCATATCGATTACCTTCCGTCGAAGCAAACGATCAATGGCGGTTACTACGCAGCCTTATTGGACCATTTAAACAACATTTTAAAGAAAAAACGTTCCTATTTGGCAAAGAAGAAAGTGCTCTTCCATCAAGATAATGCACGGATTCACACATGCCCGGCACCGATGGCCAAATTCAACGAATTCCGCTACGAATTACTTCTCCATCCAGCATATTCGCCAGATTTAGCCCCCTGCGACTATTTCCTGTTTCCAAACCTGAAGAAATGGTTCGGAGGAAAGAGATTCACCACCAAAGAGCAGCTCATCGCCGAAACAGAGGCTTATTTGAAGGATTGGACAAATCATATTATTCGGACGGCTTGAAAAAGTTGGAGAATCGTTAGATCAAATTCATCGAGCTGAAAGGAGACTATATTGAGAAATATAAATGAATCGATCAAAAAAAAGTGTTTTTCTAAAAACTTATTGACTTGCCCTATTACTTCTCGAGATTCCGTTTTCTGAAATTCCGACATGAAAATTAGGACATCACCGTAACAGTGTAGTGACTCGAATATCGGAACATTTTATGCCAGATAATATCCGGTTTATTGCAACAGTGTAATGACTCGAATATTGGAACATTTTCTGCTGGATAATCCGGTTTATCCGGCAAAAATAGTAGGAGATTTTGCAATACCGTGTATCTAGATATGGTAAACATTAAAATCACATTAGGGAGTTTTTGGAATATCGTTTATTCAGATATGATGAATGTTAAGGTCAGGTTATCTTCTTGTTAACAACTAATTAAGAAAAGGATAACATAACTTTAGCGTTCACTATATCTGAATTCACGTTATCGTAAAAATTCTCTATTATTTAGTGAAAAATCGAAATTGCACATGCAGGTTAGACTTTCCACTAAATAATAAGACTTTAGCTTTTATCTAAATATAAATATGGCATTGCAAAAACTCCCTAGTATTTGGCTAGATTATTCGGTATCCGGCCGCGACAATATGCGTTTATCCGGTATCCACCTATTTGATAAAATCATTATCTGGGAGTTGATTGTGTATCTTGAAATAAAATGAAAATTACAAAAATGAACAGATTCACTCGAATATTCATAATTTAATTAATATCTAGTGAGTTTGCTTACTTTTGTAACTTTTATCTCATTTCAAAATACACAATCAACCTCTTGGCTTTTTATCATGGTGGAATAAAAAAGATGAGCTTAGTATTTCTAGACGACGCATTCGAGGAGTGGGGGAAATCCATAGATCTCATAGTAACTGGAACCGAAATTACTTATCCAAGCAGTGAGTGGAAAATGTGAGCAACATCTAAGAAACAAAAGATATATTTCTGTCCTACTCAATAACTTTCCTTCTTTCCGTACATGTGCCAAAAGAGGATAGAAGAGGATAGAAAGATATTTCTGTCCTTTAGATTTAGATATTGCTTCGACATCTGTGTGTGTATTCCCCTTCCAATTACTATAGGTTCAATAAGGTAGTCCTCGTTTATAAAAGGACGCATTTATTTGGCCTGTAACATTCTCGTTTCGCGCATGCATCTATTCTAAGAGAGGGGATCGAAAGCGTCAACGAAGAATTGAAATATAATAGTACGAAGTACGACATGGTGAATAATAAAAAGAGTGATTGTTTAGTGCCACTTACTAGGAAGAAAAAGCAAGGAGATAAAGGTACATATATATTCTTGTTATATTCCTCGTTGATTCTTTCGATTCCTTTTCTTAAGCCTTGTATCCATCATGCTAAAAATTGGTCCGTGACTTCGGATGAAGAAAGAATTGACCCAATTGTAATGGTCATGTGTCAAATTGTTCAAATATGATTTGTTAATTTTTTCTCTGTCCGAGATCTCGGATCGATTTCTAGTATCGTGAACATCGGGCTTTAGAGTAGCGACGTATGTGCGAAATGAGAGAGAACGTTACAGGCCAAATTAGAACAGTGGTGCACTATCGTGGAAATTATTCCCATACAGGAATGTTTGTGCGCATGCGTATCGCCGATATGATGTGAAAGCAGCCAATACGAAACTGAGGGCAGCTTACGCATGCACACGATATTCCTATGTAGGAATAATTCTCACGACAGCGCATCACTGAATTAGAGACCCTCTGATCAAAGTCACAACACAAGATGATTTGAGACTTTGAACCGATTTTTGTATGCAGGGTAGTAATTTTTAGAGAGCCAAAGGGGCTCCGCACAATAAAAGAAACAGAGAATAAGAATTTCAACCTATCAAAAATCATGTATTAGGTGTAGTAAAAAGAAATCTATTATTTTTCCAATAGATGGCTTTAGTAATCTGTATCTCGCGTTGTATAAATGCGATCGGATTACGCCAAATGGCGTTAGAAAGATAAGATTTCGTACTAAAAAAAACTTCTCAGACAGTTTTGTGATTGCTTGAGTCAGTATTGTTTGAGCGCGTGTCAAAGATAGACACCAACAAAGAGAAAATACGCCATATTTTACAGTTTTTCTTCGATAAAGGCGAAAACGCAAGCCAGGCGGCTGAAAATGTGAATAGTGTTTATGGCCTGATACTGTAACAGTCAACATCGCGCAATTTTGGTTTCGTCGATTCCGTTCCAGTAATTTTGATGTCAAAGATGCACGCTCTGGAAGGCCAATTGTCGAAAATGTCGATAAAATAATGGAAATCGTCGAGTCCGACCGTCATGTAAGCACTGTTTCGATTGTCCAGGAGCTAAACATTGCACAAAAAACCGTTTGGAACCATTTAAATAAGGCTGGATACAAAAAGAAGCTCGATGTATGGGTGCCACACGAGTTAACGCAAAAAAACCTCATGGACCGAATTTCCATCTGCGAATCGCTGCTGAATCGCAACAAAATCGACCCATTTCTGAAGCGAATGGTTACTGGTGATGAAAAGTGGGTCACTTACGACAACGTCAAGCGAAAACGGTCGTGGTCGAATCGCGATGAGCCGGCGCAAACGGTGGCCAAGCCAGGATTGACGATCAGGAAGGTTTTGCTGTGTGTTTGGTGGGATTGGCAGGGAATCATCTACTATGAGCTGCTCCCCTACGGCCAAACTCTTAATTCGGACCTGTACTGTCAACAATTGGACCGTCTGAAAGAAGCAATCGCCCAGAAGCGGCCAGCTTTGGCCAATAGGAGAGGAATTGTGTTCCATCAAGACAACGCCAGGCCACACACATCGATAGTGACTCGCCAGAAGCTCCGGGAGCTTGGTTGGGAAGTTCTTATGCATCCACCTTATAGTCCGGACCTGGCACCAAGTGATTACCACCTGTTCCTATCTATGGCGAATGATTTTGCTGATGAAAAATTCGCCTCAAGAGAAGCTTGTGAAAATCGACTGTCCCAGTTTTTTGCCAATAGGGACGAGGGTTTCTATGAGAGAGGCATAATGAAATTATCTTCAAAATGGCAACAAGTTATCGAACAAAACGGTGCATATTTGACCTAAATCGGATCATTCTATAATAACTATGCTAAATAAAGCCTTCAATTTAATGCAAAAATAATAGATTTCTTTTTACTACACCTTATATTGTGGAATACACAGTTTCTGATAGATTAAAATTCTTATTCTCTGTTTCTTTTATTGTGCGGAGCCCCTCACAGGGAGAGAGTGGCAAATTGCCACGTGACCCGGTCTCCTCTGATTGGACATGGGTATCAAAGCTCCATAGAACCGTGGTGAGGGTATGCCCTTTAGGTTAGATAACTGCAAAAGTCACAATACGCTTGTCACCTTGTGCTGCAATTTCTTCCTCAATTTTACAATTGATAAGGTCTTTATAAGTGATACATACTATTAATTTTGGAAATATATACCTTCCTCTATTGTACATATATACATGAAATAAAACTGAATTTTCATTTCAGTTATCTGAACAAGATTTGTGCATATTAGAAAATGCCTGCCAGGTGCGGTGCTCCAAGAGCACAAACTCTAATAAAGAAGGATATTGCTGCACAACATTTACCCAAGATTTTTAATTGAGACAAAAATGGAATGATACACTGCCAGAATTATATATACATACATACAATAGAGAAAGATATATACCTCCAAGATTAATAATATATGTATCGCTTACAAAGACCTTACCGATTGTAAAATTAAGGAGGAAATTGCAACACAAAGTGGCAAGCATACTGCGACTTTTGCAGTCGTCTAATCTAAATGGCATACTCCCACCATGGCTCTACACCATCGGAACTTTGATGCCCATGTCCAATCAGAGGAAACCGGGTCACGTGATGCAATTTGCCACTCTCTCCCCTAGAGACTCTCTAGTAGTCTTAACAAAATCGATAACAGAAAAATATATTAGTATCTCTGTCTAACCTTAACGTGGCGTTAGGTTATCGATTGATTGTTACATTGGAACTGATCAATTGCATTTGCTGTTCAGCAGAATTGATCAGTCATGATTGACCCTTAATTGACCGATTAAGTTAATCAAAATTGGTGAGACCAATCCTATGTTTATGGGAATAACTCACCTTTTTTATTCCATCATGGCTCTTGATGTTTAGTAATAATCATAGTGTAAAAAATAAAGTGTACTATTCCCACGGATGCGCAATGGGTTGAAAGTAGTGGGGAGATCTGTCAACCAATCAATTTTTGAGTTTATTTGCAGAAATTCACAATGATTCGTTCTGCAAATCAGTACAATTTTGATTGGTCGAACTCCAGCATTATGCGCAATGGTTCACCTTATGTAATTAATTCCACCATGGCAACAATCATATGTAATACTCCTATATTGCTAACGTAGCCTCTTTTTGGGAGGAGATATGCGAAGATAGCGAGATAGAGAATATCGGATCTCTCACTTCCACAGTGTACCTCGAGTGTGCGCATATGTTGGCATAAGTAACAAAGTCGTATTTTTTTTTTTTTTTTTAAACATTTTTATATAAACAATGTTGGACACGCGAATGATCATACTGTTATTGAGATCTGATAACTTTGATCTGGCGCAACTCGCCGATTCGCGTAAAGGAGGCACATCCGTGCGTCATGTTTAGCGCCGAGACACTACCAGTGTCCCCAGATACAATACACTACACAATAAATACATACGGACGCGGACCAGTACATATGTATGTATATACATGATAAAATTGGTTAGAAACGCGTGCATGCGTACTGAAGCGAGTCCGCTATTTAAGTGAGAGGTAGATATCGTCTGCGTAGTGTTTTCGCCAGCTCTTAATTGACGTTAGCAATATAGTAATAGTACATATATGGTAATAATTCGTAAGTGTACTACTACACATTCATGAAGCAAGTGATTGAGTGTTAAAAGTGATTGAGTACTAAATTTCACGTAATAACATATTTTTGTTTTTTTCTTCACTTAAATGAGTTTTTTTACTATATAATACATCGTTTCCTTACTTAAAAAGTGATCTAACCTTGAAAAGAAGCAAAATTTTCGAGTGATTATTATATTGAACGAAAAAAAAAAAAAAATTAAATAAAAATTATTTTATTAATTATTATCATTATTAGTGAATTTTTATATAACAAAAATGTCACAATTAAATAACAGAGTATTTTTTAAGATTATGAACAAAAATAACAGAAAATTTATTCTCGGTTATGTTAAAAGTGTTCATTTGACCAATATTTAATTTAATTAATCAACTTTCGGTTATGTTTAAAAATAATTTTTCTCCTTTTCTGGAAAACTCAATTTTTTTTTGTCACTTTTGAAGTAAAAAAATTATATAATCTATGCAGTCTGTAAAGCTGTACACAATGCTCTATCAAACGCCACGGTTTATATGTGAACGTTAACAAGAAATACTTTTTTTTAAAGGTGATACTGTCAATGCAACAACTGGGAATAAATTATGATATAAAAATACCAGGTTCTAGTGTGAATTTAAAACGCATAACCATACCATCAAAACTTGCAATATTAAGAAGACAGTTCATAACTTTTAGTAAAATGCAACAAAATGAAGTTGATCAAATTGCCACATTATTTGTACAATATCTCAATAACAATATACGGTAAAAGTGAATTTATATATCTTTTATGTTTTTTAATTTTAATATGATTTTACGTATGTGTATGCGCGCGCGCGCGCGCGCGCGTGTGTGTGTGTGTGTGTGTGTGTGTGTGTGTGTGTGTACACAAAGATCGTTCGATAAATCTGATAAATCTTTATAAAATGGTAACATCCATTTGATGGCGTGACACCTGAAAATGATCTCTCTTTAAACCCTTCCAGACCAAATGTCAGCTAGAATTGATGCGTTGTTCACGTTCGATAGTCATTTAAAGCGAATGACAAATGTAGCAGTTGTCACAAAAATGTGTACAAAAATGAAAAAAAAAATGAATTCTGTGCAAAATTACAGAATTTGGCTTCGAATTGATTCCTCATCCACTTAATTTTGCATGGAATTTGTTTCCTTTTTTATTTTTATACGCGACAATTGCTTAATTTCTCGCTCGCTTTAAACAACTACCAAACATGAACAACGCATCAATTTTGGTTGAAATTTGACTTGGAAGAGTTTGAAGAATGATACTTTCCAGGTATCATGTCAAAAAGATTTACTCATAAAGATTTACCAGACTTATCGAATGACCCACGTATATACAGAGTGTCTCTAAATTCCCATATACGGAATATAAGATGTGATACTTTATACTAAAACAACTTTTTTCTTTTGCAAAATTGCATCTGATAAGTAGGTTTTTAGGCAGAAGAGCAGGTTGAATGAGTAAACGCAAAAATTATTTATCGAATGTAATTTTACTGTAGGAAAAAGTTGTTCGTTTTAGCACAAAAAACAATTTCTTCCTTTAGTAAAATTGCGTTCGATAAGTAGTTTTTGCAGAAGAGCAGATTGAAATTAACAAATAAGAGAACAAATTATTTATCGGACGCAATTTTGCTAAAGAAAAAAGTTGTTCGTTTTAGTATAAAGTATCACATTTTGTACTGCGGGAATTTAGAGACACCCTGTATATACAAACAGGACATTTAGCATTACGATTCACACAATTTTTCAGATATTTCCGACAATTAAAAAAAAGTTGAAAGGTGAATATTCATCTGTTTTATACAGATTATAACATGCGATAAAAAATTTAAAAAACATTTTTTTATTAAAAAATCAAAGTCATCTTAAATTTTTTAAATAGCATCATACAATTTTTTTCATAATATTGTAGAGGTCTTCAAGACAAATTCAAATCACTATTGAAATGTTACTTTTATTGATGTTTTATTTATTTTATTGATACTTAATAAATTTGCAACATTATTTTTAACAGCAGTACTTACAACCTCTGACTAGACATAGAACATAAACACATATATACATACATGCATGTATTTATTTAATAAAATATGCAATAAAGTCAATAAAAGTGACATTTTGATAGTGATTTGAATTCGTCTTGAAGACCACCTCTACAATATTATGAGAAAAATTGTATGGTGTTATTTAAAAAATTTAAGATAAGTTTAATTTTTTTATGAAAAAACGTTTTTTAAATTTTTCATGCATTTATTGTAGCCTGTATAAAATGAATATTCACCTTTCAACTTTTTTTTAACTGTCGGAAATGTCTGAAAAATCATAAGGACCGTTACGTTGAACATCCTGTGTATGTGTGTACACACACACACACACATATATATATATATATATATATATATATACACTGGGCAACAAAATTAACGTAACACCTGTTCACTCTGCAAAAATAGGCAAATTTCAAGATACAATAACTTCTAATTGTCGTATCGGGATATTTAAAAAAGCATTTTACAGAGAGAAACCTCTACTTTTCGGATCGCTACTTAAAAAACGATCTCATGGAGGTTTCATGAAGTTACACAAACATAAATAAAGATATAAAATCTCAAAATTTTTTACGAAATTTATGGAGTTCCACAGAATAGACTAAAAATTAAATACAAATGCGATTTACATCATTCGAAAGAGAGAATCTTTACCTTTAATTTGTTTTTTTACAAAGCTCCGTACGATTTTTTTTCATCGAGTTATTCAATGTTGAAGCAAAAACACCATTTTTGCTTCAACATTGAATAACTCGATGAAAAAAAATCGTACGGAGCTTCATAAAAAAGCAAATTAAAGGTAAAGATTCGCTCTTTCGAATGATGTAAATCGCATTTATATACAATTTTTATTTCACTCCGTGGAACTTCGCAAATTTCATAAAAAATTTTGAGGTCTGATATATCTTCTTATTCTATTTTTTTTAAGTAACGACCCGAAAAGCAGAGGTTTCTACCTGTAAAATGCTTTTTTACATATCCCGATACAATTTTTGACAAAGTTATTGTATCTTGAAATTTGCCTATTTTTGCAGAGTGAACAGGTGTTGCGTTAATTTTGTTGCCCAGTGTATATATATATATATATACATAATCTTACTAGCACGCAATAACATCGCATAATTGTACAATAATGAAAATCATTGGTTTGTAAATATTTATAAAACCTTTATCAAAACATATGTTTTGACTTCAAATTACTCATGATACAATAAACAAGAAATATAATTAGATTAGATATTGTCTGCAGTTATACACTGATCAATTTAAAAAAATAGTTCTATTATTTTCAAGGCATTATTGAAGTTATGAAAACAATCTCATAGCGCCATTGAAAACTTTTTTGTATGAAATGAGTCTTTATATTAGAATAGATTGAGACAGATAAAGATATAAAAAAAGAAAATATATAAGTCTTAAACGCAATCGTAGAACTAGTTTTCACACGTAAAACATGGCTGCACTTAAACAATAACATCTCAGCGTTCTACACTTCAAGAAGAAAAGCGCCACGCTGTAATCAATTCTCTTGTTCTTGCGCACTATTAGTTTCACCTCCATTCTGATTGTGATGTACACCGTCCACATGTCCATTTGGTTTTCGACAAACAAAGTACACGCTATTATATTCGCACTGTAACATACTATTAATATTCTGGGCATAACGCGTTTTCATTTTTGTTTCTTCTTTCTAAAAAAAAAAAAAATAGACTATACGTTCGTGAACGTTTCAGAAATATCGTACGTAAAAATAAAGTTTATTACCTCCAATTGAAAGCCAAAGCCTAGAATAACGTCACGGATAGCATCATAACTTGGCTCGATCGAATCTTCATTCGGTAAATCGCTAAAATGATAGAGCAACGGTCCGAGATTTATCCAGATGCCACCTGGCTTCAGGATCTTATAAATTGTCTCGATAAATTGTACAACGTTATTAGCACAGTCTATGAAGAAACATGTCGCGATGCAATCCCAATGGTTGCTCTCCGTATAAACCTGAAATAAATTATCTTAACTGAACAGATAATATTATGATTACTTACAGTTAATGCAAAAAGTATTTGTAGAGACTTTAAAATTTTTTATTTTTAGAAAATAAATTGTATGTTTTTCAAAATTATTTTGTAAAAAGATGAATAATTAAAATATATTATCTTAATAAGCGAAAAATTAAAACTTGTAGCACATAAAAAGTATTCATACTCTTTTATTTATACTAGAACAGAACATTATAAATAAGTAATTAATATTTACTTTCTAAAAGTAAGGTTTTTAAAAGATATTTTCTTTGTACAAATACTTTGTACTCATTGTGCATGTTACATATTCTTGTTTTAAAAATCACCTCTAAAAAATCACCCGCGGTCATAGAGAATTGTGCATTTCCTGGAAGATCGCTCGGGCTTACGTCGGGGAAAGAAACCGCTTGCGTCTGGTGCTCAGGTTTCAGGTTATTCATATATTGATGCACCCATGGATGTATTTGATACAAATTTATATCTCTACATCTATTACAAAAGGAAAAATTGTGACAAAAGATGCAAAGGTGATTTGCGTTACTGTTACTTACTTGTTTAATACAAAGTTTGATGCAAACAGCATGAATAGGGAAAATTCATTTCCTTGGCAAGTATATCCACGCTTCGCAATTTCAAAAGCAAGACGGCCTAATCCTGCACCAGGTACTAAAATATGCACGTCCGATGGTTTACTAGAAATTTAACTATCATTTGATATTTCTTTCAGTCATGTCTTGGTATGGCTTACAAAAGAAACTTTTGAAATATTTTCAGCTGTAATTTCATCAAAGGTTCATCCTGTATATTAATTTAGTATCCTTTGATGAAAAAGCAGCTTAAAGTCTTATAAGCTTTAAGAGATTTTGCAAGTTTCTCTTGATTTTTCTTTTTTCGTGTTTCCTTGATATATTACAATAATTGCTTGTACAATAATTATGAATTATCATACCAATTCTCCAATGGAAATTGATATAATATTTCGTCTACAATTAGCTGATAACACGCTTTTCGTTCCTCAGCACCTTCCACACTCCAGTCCCGTACCAATTGCTTAATGGTAGCTTGCACTTTCTCTTGATCTGACATTACAGGCCTTAGATTTAGCGTCTGTAATGAAATCCGTCTATTTTACATAGAACAATATCACAGAGAAAGCACAGTTTGAGCAGAGTTGGATAAGTTAATTTTTTTTTTTTAATTAAGTTTAGTTAAAGTTAATAGCCTTGAAAATTTAAATTAACTTATTTAAATACAAGTTCAATATGTGAATTTGTATTTAAATAGTCCATAATGAAATTAATTGAAGTAGAAGTTACATTAATAAAGTAATTAAAAAATTAACAGTTAAATTTGGAATAAACAATTAAAGAAAAAAAGAGAGAGAAAAAATTTGACCATTTTTTTCATAATTTTTTTATATTTTTCCTTTCTCACAGCATATCCATTAAAGAATCTTATGGAAGAACTGGTTATTTTTGTTTACAATTAACGATTAAAAGATATAAAAGATATAAAATTTCTAAATTATACACTCATTCCCTCACATTGTGTCTGAAGGTTGATTTCCAAAAAGTCAAATTCGAAGTTAATAGTTACCGACAAAATTAATCTTTTAATTTAACTTTTTAACTTAGTACTACCCTAGGTTGAAGTAATTAAAATTAAATTTAACCAAAGTATATGTAG